TCTGTCGACGTACCGATACTAGGTTAGAACAAAACTCTGGCACGTGGAGCACTCGATTGAGGGTTAACCCAGACTGCAATGAAGTCATGTGGAATTGAATTCCCTCAATGTTATCGTTTATTGGAATCATATTATTTAATAAATTAACAAAACCACCGTAGCTCAAATGGAGCGAATTGTAACAGTGATTGATTGTTCAAACCTTTGAACTTCGTACAAAACTGTCACAAAAATTTTAATTTGTAATGACACAGTAACAAAAGTTTGAACGTTTATAAAATGGTCTCTTTGTTTAACTTGTAACCGTATTGTTCAAAATACATAATTTTGTTATCGAATCGTTACAAATTAAAAATTTGTCACCATTTTGTACTAAGTGCAAAGGTTTGTGACCGTTTATACTAATTAAACGGTATTTTGATCCTATATGTTTTAGCTAGAAACCATCAATTTAAATTATATGTAGAGTAATCGTTAATAATTATTACTAAATATTTCATGATTAATTTGATGTTATTATTAATTTAAGACTACATTTGAGTTAAGCAGTTCTAACCACGCTATATCAATTTATTCATTCTAGCGAGCGTCTGGCTTTCAAGTTTATGGTAATTGAGGAGTTCAAGATGTGTTTGGATTGGTAAAAATAAGTGGTGGAGGAAGTTTTGAATTTAATAAGAAATAAGTTATTTTAATGTGATAATGATCTGGAAAATTTAAAAGATTAAATTTTTTTTATTTTTTAATTGTCACGTCACACATTTAACAATAAATTATGAGAGATGACTACCATGCAGGATAAAGTTAACAGAAATTGACGTAGAGTGACCATTTATGAAACAAAAGTATAAAGTTAATAACCAAACGTGAAACATTTTAGTAATTTCAATGACCAAACTTGCAATTTTCCCATTTCTTTTTAATGATTTTTAAAAATTCCAAGGGGTTGATCACCATTAATTGGGATATATAAACTGAGCATCACGTTTATCATATGATAAATTAGGGGGACACACACTTGTGGCGCTGCTCTGTCCCGTCCTCAATAGAAGTATAATGAAGTATATAAAGACCAAAACTACAACAAATCACACCACAAATAGCGTAAAGTATATTAAAAAGCTTATAAAGCATACTAGAAATCACCACCACACAATTCATAAAGCATACTAGTAACGTTAAAGCATACCACAAGTTTCTTAAACCATACCAGAAACCTCAAGTAGTACACCACAATTTTCTTAAAGCAGACCATAATCCTCATAAAGAATACCACAAGTTCCCTGAAACACATAAAAAAGCTCATAAAGCATACCACAAGTTATCCAAAGCGTACTACAAGTTTCTTAAAGTAGACCACAAGTTTATTAAAGCAAACCATAAACTTCGTAAAATAGACCATTGTAGGAGACCTAAACCCTCGAAAATCACACCACAAATTTTTTAAAGCAAACAAAAAACCTCATAAAACATACCATAAGTTCTCTAAAGTATACCAAAAATCTTATAAATTATACCACAAGTGTTTTAAATTATACTAAAAACTTCAAAAAGTATATCAAAAGTTTCTTAAAGTTGATCTGAAACCTCACAAAGCAAACCAAAAACTTCAATTTTCATAAAAATTTAGATATAAAAATGTAAGACCTAAAATTTTAGGTACTAAAATGTTATTATCACCAATACTTTTGGGAAAATATGCAAAAAAATAAAGCTTAGGTACTAGATATTGAAATCATGTTTAGGTACCAAAATGTAATTTGCATATGAAACCCTAACACATGAGACGAGGAAGAGAGTTTCTCCTGTGAACATTGAAGTTATTATAATATTATTAATGAATTATGTTATCATATACTAATATTAGGCGTGTTAACGCACTATCCGGTCACACTCGAAAGTACAGTTGAAATGGAAACGTGATGAACGTGAAGTAGGGAAATGAGAGGTTCACATATTTTCGGTAGTAACAGAAAGGAAAAGGACTAGAAATGAATATTGGTGGACCAAATTAAATATACTGCACAGTACACACCAAGGGCTTCTCTCCACAGCTCCAGTACTATACCGTCTCTTACATAAAAATAAATTACTGGCTATTAACTATGCAAAAGTAAATAAGCCCTAATGAATGATTAGATTCCTGTTTATGAAAAGTGAAACATACGTACGGTTGGATTGTTATTGATAACCATGCATGGATTTCTTAATCCATCCAGGTACCTGGGAAATATTTCATTATTCAATTTAAGTACTATACATTATATATATATAGATTACATTACAGACACGCACTCGATTGAGGATTATTCTGGATCCAGGAATATAGAAAGGGATGTACGACAAAATAAGGTCTGCGATTTAGGGCATAATAATTGAAGCAAAGTGGGTAGGGGACGGGATACCCGTCCCATTTGAAACGGGTACCCAATTCCGTTTGGAGATCAAAGTCCATCCCGTGTCTTAACTCATTTTGGTAAACGGGTACTCATTACCTGTACGGGACGGATAACGCGTACCCATATTACCCATAAATACCCAAAGTTTGAAAAAGAAAATTTAACAAAAGTTTAAACCTAATTTGTACTTGCTTAACAATCACAAAATCCATCCCAAATTCCTAATCACAGATACTCGATTTGCAAACTACACATTCATGAACAATCACAACGCATAGAAATAAACATTCCAAGCACCCATAACAACTAAAAAGAGCTGTTGGTTGCTACTGTTCTGCTTAAAATAAAAAGCTTCATTCGACAATTCGAACTAGGGAGGCAAGCTGTTGTTGTTCTGCTGCCACCCTGGTTCTGCAAGTTGCTGCCCACCATCAAGCTGCTGCTGTTCAAGCTGCTATCACCTGCTGCAAATCAGCAGTTCCATTATCAACAAATTAAAGGGAGAAGCAGGGCACAAAAATTCACCAAGTGTTCTACATAATAACAACACAGTCAAGGGGAAAGCAGGGCAGAAAAATCTAGAAAATGTCACCCAAAAATCAAAATACAAACACCATGGAAAACTGAAACAAATCAAAGTAGAGAGGTTCAATCTAGTTCTCCTTCATTTATGAACTCTCACATCATAGAGTCATAAGTAGTGATGGCAATTTCAACCAGCCCCGCAGGTATTACCCGACCCGCAGTAGCGGGGGGCGGGGCATGGGTATCTACTTCCGACCCGCCCTGCCCCGCCCCGCCCTGTTCTAGACTAATTTTATCTCAATTTCTTACAATATCTATAAATATTTCTCCTATTTTGACTTTTCTTCAACTAGTTAGAGTCGATCTTTCAACTTGTTAGGCTCAATTATCCATTCTATTATCAATATTTTTCATTCTTAAAGTGTCTTTCCTACGTTTTATTGTAAAAGGTAAAATTTACTTGTATTTTTTTTTAACAACATGTAAGAGTGGGTCGACCCGCCCCGCCCCGTACCCGCATGGGGATTGAGGTACCCGCCCCGCCCCGCACCATTGCCATCACTAGTCATAAGTCATCACCTGAGGTATTTCGGCGATTGAAATTGGAAAGGTGAGCTGCCATCGTTCGACTCCTCTGCACGGAAGGAATGATCCTAACACATCCGAACTGAATAGCCAATTCTCTCACATCTAGCTTTGTCCTGCAAAATCCCAACAATCAGTGACACAGAACCCATTTACTCAATCATAACTTAGATTAAGAAAGGGAAAGAAAAATTAAAACTGAGGGCTACGGCGATTGGAATTGGAACGGTGACTGCTACTTCGAGTCAATGACGGTGACTGCGTGCGGATGGCTGCTGAGGGCTACTGGGCACTGGCTGCGGGGTGGCGGTGCGCCTGCATGGCGTTGCTGTCGAGGAGAGGCCGAGAGGAGGACTGGTTGGCTAGTCTGGAGGATTTTGGGAAGGGTTTGGGAATCAGGCCAGAGCGCTGCGCGAACGGCTGAAGGAAGGGTTCTGTGGCTGGGCTGCGCGCATGGGCCGGAAGGAAGATGGGCATGGGCCTGTGTAATTTTTGAATGGGTAAAACGGGTACCCATATTACCCAAATGGGTATTTGCGGGTAACCCGCGGGTACCCATTGTGGAAATGTACAATCCCAAGTCCCGTCCGTTAATAATTTTACGGGTAATATGGGTACCCGTAACCCTAAAAAAATGGGACAGGTACGAGTTTACCCAAATACCCATTTCCTGTTGCCCACCCCTAAAAGTGTGTAAGTAGTGTGGACAGAAGAGGCAAATATTAGGGTTAAGTGGGTGGTTAATTGGGTGACAAGTCCACACTATGTTGGTATGTAATGATTGCTCTTGTTGCTCGATCGATAATGAGCGGTCTTTCAAGCAAGCTGTCACTTTTTAACCAAACCATATGAATCTCCAACATCATCAACTCAATACCTACATTAACTAATCAATCATCTTCAATCCCCTCTATCATAATTAATTGGTTTATCTCATTGATAATTATGTGAAGTTTTTACCTTCCTATTTTCCTTTCTGCTCACATCCTACTTCTTTGGTCCCTCCCACTTATCATTTTCTGGTGTTTGGTTACTGCTATTACTCACAAACCACAACTAAGAGTTCATATTTTGATGTAATTACCACATGAAAAATCACTTTCAATCACGAGATATCCCGTGACGGAACAACCAATTCCCATGTCAAGCGTGCCCGTGATCAAAGGTAAAATATCACGGTAAATCCCGTGACAACAAAGAAAACAATAACGGGAAAAAACCTGTGATATAAGCTCCATTTCGTCATGATATTTTCCTGTGACTAACATTTAAACACGGGATATTACCATGACAAAATTATGAAATAGTCACAGGATTTTCCATGACTTATGCGATCTTTTGTCACGGGATTTTGCCTAATTACCACGGGATCGTAGTGATCATGATCAAGTAAGAGCAACGAATTTTGCCTCACTGATCACAGGAAACCCATGATAGATAATATTAGTCACTGTGAAATTGCCATAATATATTTACCTTTTTTATGGTTAATCAAAATTTCAATAAGCTCAAGCAACCCAAAGGGGGACTCTCCTGCAAAGAACTATCCACTTCTGCCCTCCAGTACAAAATACGATAGAGTTCACGACTAATATCCTCAGGAGCTCGGATTGAAACCTCTCCATATACTCGCGAGCACCGCTCCCTCCAAACCAGGCTAACAGCAAGGCTCCAAATAGCTCTACCTGCAACAGCTTTACACCCTCTGCCACGACAAGCATTGGAACACCACTCCACCACTTCCTCCCACACCTTCAGACTAGCATCAGGCGCAAGAGGAAGCATACACTGATTCACCACTAACAGGCTTTCCCCGAGCTAATAATTTGTCCTGGGTATGTAATCTATTCATCACAGCCAGCCAGAGAATAAAGCCATGCCTTGGCACCACCTCCTTACTCCCAACTAATTCATACCAGCATTTTTGAAGTACAAAAGCATTTCACAACGGATTTGCCAAAGAAAAAATTCTAAATTGAACTGTGCATTCTTATCGACTCCCATACCCTTTTGACAGAGTATATAGGCATTGGATCACCATCCCAAAGTGAAGAACCCCCCTGCTCAGTTATATGATATCGAATGATTCCCTTGCATTTCAACAAACGTCTCCATATCCAGGAGCCTGCAGCTCTAGCCTTTAAATCCCAAAAAGAACCTTGCTTGACTCAATAACAAGACACCCACGCAACCCATAAAGAGCCACTAGAAAGAAGAACATTCCAAGCATGCCTGATAACACAGGCCTTGTTCTAGATATCAAAATTACGAACTCCAAGTCCTCCCTATTTCTTTGGACGAGCCACAAGATCCCAAGCAACTAAAGCCATTGATCTAACACTTGTTTCAGAGATGTCCCATAGTAATTGATTACATATCCTCTCCACCTCAGCTATAACAAACTTGGGAAGCAAGAATATATTCATCCAGTATTGGAGAATGTTGGAAATGACCGAGTTGATCAACTGTACTTTTCATGCAAAACTCAAAAGCTTGGCTCTCCAACTCTGAATACAATGGGTAATTTTATCAACCAATACTAGACATTCTCTTATGGTTAACTTACTGGTAATCAAAGGTACTCCCAAATATTTAACTGGGAGTTGACCAAGAGGACATCCCGAAAAGACAGAGATACTGAGTTTTTCCTCATCTGGTATCCCTGCACAAAACAGTTGGCATTTCCCAGGGTTACATTGCAGAATTGAAATTCGATAAAACTCATCCAACATTCTTCATACACCTGCAACTACCCTTATAGAACCATTCGTGAACACCAAGAGGTCATCCGCAAAGCATAAATGCGTAATAACAAGGAGCTTACACCTGGGATGGTAAGGGATTTGATTGTCAACAGTTGCCTTTTTAATCAGAGCATCCAACACTTCCATAGCAAGGGTAAACAGATAGCGAGACAAGGGGTCACCCTGCCACAGTCCCTTCTTCATACAAAAAAACCCACATAACCCTCCATTAAGCGAAACGCTGACCATTGGGTGCACACCCAGGCTTTCAGCATATTTAAAAACTTCCCTCTTATCCCCATAGCCTTTAATACATCAAATAAGAAGCCCCAGTTTACTAATTCGAAGGCTTTCATTAAGTCTATCTTTATTACACAACGAGAACTAATTGTTTTAGATTGATACCCTCTAACTAACTCAGAAGCCTGTAAGATGTTATCAGCAATCGATCGCCCTTTTATAAAAGCAGATTGAGAGTGACTTACCAAACAAGGGAGCACAGTAGCTAGCCGATTCGCCAGAATTTTTGCAATTCCTTTATATAGAGTGTTACAGCATGAGGTCGGGCGAAAGTCCTTCATATTCATTGCATGCTGCACCTTAGCCACCAGTGTAAAAATAGTAGCATTAATCTTCCTTGGCATAAACTCAAACTGATAAAACTTATTAACAATACTTAATACATCCGCTTTGATCAAATCCCAGTGCAGTAGATAGAACTCAACAGGGAATCCGTCTGGACCCGGTGCTTTGTCCCTCCCCAACTGCTTAAGAACCCCATGAATCTCATATTCATATATATTCCTATTTAAGAATTCATTATCACTATCAGTAGCCGTGTGTGTAAGAATAGCCTCATAGAATTCAACTGAAGCCCCCTGAACATTCTGATCCACCTCCCCTATCAAATGAGTGTAAAAATCAACTGCAACTCTCCCCATCTGAGGCACATCAGTTACATCTAAACCTTGTGCATCCTTCAGTTTAGTGATTTGTTGTTTATGAGTTCTAATCTTCAATGACCGATGAAAAAAAGATGTATTCAATCCCCAGTTTGTACACACTGTGCTCTAGATTTCTGATGGAAAAAGAGTTCTTCTGCTTTCTGAACTTTCTGGCATTTCTTAGCCAAGTACGCCTCTTTCTCAATATTTTCAAAATTAGGATGAGCCAACACCTCATAATGAAGAGTCTCTAACTGCTTCTCAAGTTCTCTTACATGCCCTGAAATGTCCGAATAGACTTCTTTATTAAGATTTTTAAAAGTCAATGTGGGAAGCCCTCCTTCTGAATGCTCCAAGCTTCAGCAACCAATTCAAAATAAGAAGGGTGGGAGTTCCAAAACTGAAAGTACTCAAACGGCTTAGGTAGAGTGGCCAACTGCGGATCAACATGAAGAACTAGGCCACAATGACCAGATATTCCTTGAGGGGATGTCTGTGATATACTAGAGGGGAATGACACTAACCAAGCTTCATTAACAAAAAAACCTGTCAGTTCGTTTAGCAATAGGATTCAACTTCTGTTTGTTCCGCCAAGTAAACCATGCCCCCAATACTTTATGGCTAACCAACTTCATACTATCAATCCAAGCTCGGAAGTCAAGCATACTCTAACTAATATCCACTGCATTAGAGGAGTCTATTGGATCAGCTATCGCATTAAAATCTCCCATAACCGCAAAAGGAATAGTAGATTCTTTATGTAACTGAAGTTCTCTATACATCACATTTCTATCCTTCTCCTCATTAGGACCATAGACAAACATTATATATGCTTGCTGCAATCCCTCCACCTGAACTTTCATAAAATGCTCCCCTTCTTCTACTTTTTTCACCTTCAACCTGGGTTTCCAGAAGAGCTACACACGACCAGAGCTAGACTTACTATAGTTATCTGGAAAAGTCCATGAAGAAAAGGATTTATTCATTATCTTTTTACTATTGTCCTTAGTTACTCGAGTTTCTAAAATGGCAGCTATATCTATATTCACTGTCCCAACTTTCGAAGAACAATTGAATGTTTGTCAGGAGTATTAAACCCCCTGACATCCCAACTTTCGAAGAACAATTGAATGTTTGTCCTACAAGACTATTTGCCCACCGCTTTGCACCTTCATCGATCACCAACTTTGGGATTCTAAGAGCTCCATCAACAAACTCGGGCTCTCCATACGACTATCCGGAGCAATACCGAACAGAGAGACCCATGGGCTACCGCCACCGACGGATCCCGATGGGACACAGTTAGCGGCGGCCGCCTTCCAAAATGCTGAAAACCCCTAGTTTAGAGAGGAAGAAAACGTAAAGAGAGGAAGAAGAGAGATGAATAATAAAAATCCTAAAAACCTATATTTACCTTTTTTTGGTAAGTTATCTAAATAAATTTAACAACAAAGCAATTCAAATACATTAATCAATAATCTTATATATGAATGAAATTTCAATTGCATTTTATAAATTTGTCTCAAATATCAATATAAACATCTTAAGAGTATAAGGAACTTATGAATTAATGTTCCTTTGGAGAGTACTCAAGTAGCCTAAAATATAGAACCAAAAAAGATGTAATACAACTTGTTCTAATTACAAATTGCAATCACAAGCAAGCTGCAAAAAGTTCAACTAATCAGAACCCAGTACATCTCCAACTCCGATTATGCTTACACATAATAATAACGACAACATAATTAGGTAGGTTGATGGAGTTCGCCCCTCCACATAGCTACATAGCAAAGAAAATAACAAGGGAAGACTTGGAAAAAACTTACAGCAGCATTTGGAGGATTGCAGACCACCAAAACACCACAAATGCTTACAAAAAGTAGTAAATGATGTACAAGAACTCATATCATTGCTACGGTTTGATTCGTGAAAGTTGCAGTAGCCATAAAAAAACAAATACCTTGGAAGCTTTATAGGTGATGTGGAGTGGTGGTGCAGAAGGGGAGAGGTATATGACCGACCTGCACACATAAACAGTTTCTCCGCTACTTGTTGCAGCTGCACTACATGTTTTGTAAAGAAGAAAATGGGCAGGAAGGTAACAATTAGGATAACTTCAAAGCCTCCAAATGGATTAGAGTGCAAAATTTACAGCAGACAATCATATAGACTTCAATTACCCAAGTACTTATGTATACACGCTGAAGCACCAATCAACCACCAATACACATTCATTCTAGATTCTCTGCCCATTCTACTTTATCCAAAACAAGGTATTCAAAAGATAAAGAATACCCATCTGCATGCAACGAAAGCTACTGGCACCCAACACAAACAATAAGGCTCAGCCGGAAGCTGCTATATCTCGCCGGCCACACCAAAAAACAGAGGATCTCAACCAGCTAAATCCAAGTCAAGCTGCAAAAGAGGTACACTACATAGACATCAGACAGCTTGCCTCGTCGCCCTGTTGTCATCTCATCCGGTTCAAGGTCCTTCCTCTCAACGAAGCTGCAAACAGAAAGTTCATAGAAACATAGAATTAGGCGAATTTCCCACACTTTAGGCCAGAAGTAGGGATGGAGAAGGTTGCTAGTATGAGAGAAATCATTAAAAGTATGCAAAACAAGGCAAGATAGAAAGGACAAAAAGCAAAGGCAAATCCGGTGACTTTCCACCAGTCAAGCTAGCTTCGGGCAATAGATAAACCAAACCCACCTGTCCTTCCTTCCTAGGTTTTGCCACTCAAAACAAAACAAAAAGCTTTATTTCTCAAACTACATCGTTCGATCGTAATTACACACTTATAAGAGAGCTAATTACTTCTTTTAACATTCTAACCATATGAATCAGTCAAGCAAATTGACCATATCACTTGATCGAAACCATTGACAAAAGCATCTGTGTAAAGTAAATAAACTTGAGTAGTTGATGTCCATCAAAACAAGATGGTCAGACAAATGTGATAGGCTGACTACTCTTTCACCCTTCGGTTGCACGCCTATATCATAATAGAATATTTACAGAACTAAAAAATGAATGTGCAAAGGGCAAAAGATGGACCAAACAACCAACATACAACTATAGACATTCCTCT